TATGTATATATTGTTTTTCAGAAATGTTGACACGGTTGACGCTAAGCTACCACTTATAAGCTGACTGCAGTACTGTTTATGATAAAAATCCCTAGGTATCTTTCTGGGTGTGTATTGTGTGCATGCTGCAAACATTTTGCAACACCGCGGGCCTTTCTGTACGGGCTACGGGGCTACTCGGTGCCGCTACTCTTCCGAGTGTAATATATACTATTTTCATTATTTTATGAGATGAAGCTGCTGTTTTTAGAAATTAAAATTTTGTTTTCGTTCAGTTTTCGTACTTGGTGCATTTAAGGCTTCTAGAGTCTACATCAATTCTAAGAAAAAGAGGCAAACAATTTCAGGTTGCTATTCAGTGAAAGCGAATGAGCAAAATTAATATATATATATATATATATATGTATATTTAAATTCCTCCAGAGAGCAATGCAAAACAGGCGAATGCGAGATAAAAAAATCTCAATGAAAATACACAAGCTACGATGAAGTTAAAGAGGACAAGATCAAAGTCACAATTTTATTTATTTCAAAAAATTCCCAGACAAGTAAAAGGCCACGGCAGGTGTACGCACAACAAGTAGAATACATGCTGAATACATAACAGAATGATCACAGAATGAAAAAAAGAGATAAATGACACGGAGACGCACAATACACCATCAAAATGTTTTTTTAACACCTCACAAATGTACAGGTAGCTTTATTAACAGGTGCAATCCCTTTTCTATTTTATAAAATACGTCTAAAACCCTTACACCTTCGAATGATGTGACTGATACGGTATACCTGAACAATGAATGAATTATACAAACCGCAAGGGTTTCAACATCGAGTTCCTTGATGTGACGGGTCTGCAGGGATACGACTTCAGAAGCATACTCAAGATAAGGATGAGTGTGTTACATGCTGCAAATTTTACTCGCCTTGTATGCTAAAGAATCCATCAGCTTCTCCATTACGCCTGACACAAACTTGAAGTTGTGGAGACGCCACTGAAGTGGGCGTTCTGCAGGCAAAGGCTACCCCAATTCCACAGTAGCACATTGAAACCACGGGAACCACAAGAAAGATTAACCTTAAAAACTTTCTTGAGGGTGCCTTTACTCCATGCAGTTCCCTTCATAGCGGGCTTTTCGAGACACTTAAATTGATCTGCAGCGAGAAAGCACTTAGGTCCAAATTTTAAATTGTTCCCTTCGCGTTACAAATGATACTCTTGTCGTTGTGCCAATATCTGTTTTCGCTGCACTGATTATAGTTTTCTTTTTAGCTCCGCTACAAAGACTGGTGGTACTCTTTTCGGTGTACTGATGAGCTTGTAGCTCATTAGTACACCAGAAAGACTGGCATTCTGATGATACTGCCTAATATGCCACGTGTAAATAGTGTGCCTGAAAAAAAAAAAAAAAAGATTGTTATTTAGTTTTGTTTAGTGGCTAGCAGTGAGACAATAAGCTCGGATGTGAGTAGCCGTTTGCAGCTGTCTGCTCTCCGCAGGAAATAGACAACATTCAAAAATGAAAATGAAAGAACGAATGAATGGAAATTCTAATGAAAATGAATGATACTGCAGTTGTTGTTGCTGCGGCAGCCTGTCCAGGACAAGTTGGGGAAGCTAGGGTATGTAGGGCGCTGCTCAGACTTCTAGAATCAATAAATGAAGAGAGACGACATTCGTTGTAGGTGTGCCTCGGTCGACCTGGAAACAGTATCACTGTGCTAAACTCACCAGCACCTGGGGTTGACGAAGCAGACCACTCTAGGGAAGAGGTTCTGTAGAGCACGACTTCGAACTTGCTGGGGGACTCAGGATGACACACACGCCTAGAATCAACAAAGACGGCACTAGAGGTAGGTGAGCCTCAGTCAACCTGGTAAGAGTATCGGACTGCAGAACTCACCAACAGTTGCGGTCACTGAGGCAGATTGTCCCGGGAAAAACGTTCTGCTTGGACCCTGGTGCGAGCCCCCTGGAGGACACGCACTCTTACTTGGACAGAGATGGCACTAGCGGTAGGTGTGCCTCGGTCGACCACGAAACAGTATCGGACTGCCAAGCTAACGAGCCGCTTCAGTCACTGCAGCAGTCTGTCCTCGGGATGCTTCAGTAACTGTCGGCATTGCCTTGTGGTGTATGTACTGTTCAGGCTTTGCTGGGGGTGCCTTGGGGACTTTAGGGAGCCAACTAAAATAAATGAAACTGCCCTGTGTAAAAGAGGCATCGCAAATCATCAGTTCGTGCACCGAATTCGTATTGTAAAACTGATGTAACGTATCTTACTAAAAAAATTTTTTTCTGACATATTGTACGTAACATTAACATTTCTAGTTTCCTTGCAGTCGTGGTTTAATCTCTCGGTTGAAAAATAACAAAAAAGGAAATGTTTGAGAGAGCATCTTTTCTCAATTTCTTGCTCTTCTTTGTTTTGCATGATTAGTGTCTTAAATTGGTTGATACTGAATTGGTCCTGTAAGAAATTGAAGAGATCGGACTTCAGTCGCGAGCACATCATTTAACGCCACCTCAAACGCCTGTTTTTACAGATCCTATGTTAGCCTGCCAAAGACCTGCACGATAAGTATGCGCTGTCAAAGCTGCTGGCGTGAGCATGGGGTAGATCTCAGATGTTTTATTTGCTTGCGTTTTGGTTTCAATAAGACTGCGAGCAAAGGAGGCCTTATAGACCATTTGCTATATCCCCAAGTGCCCCGGCCCGTGCTAAAAGAATCCTGGGAACGGTGTTCCTTCAGCACCTTAGTGATCGGTAATTTCGAAATTATCCTCGGTTACATATCTCGTGAGCGTAATTCGGAGTCACACTGGAAAAACGCCTAATATGTCGAAAATTTGCGATCACTAGGGAGCTGAAGGAACACCGTTCCCATGATTCCTCCAGTCTGGGCCGGGGTGCTTGGGAATATAGCAAATGGTCTATTGAAGCTACGAGAGCGAACGCACTTTGATTGGGCTAAGCACAAGCACACACGCTGGTGCAGTAAGCGCGTAGTCAGAGGAAACATACTCGTGCTTGTCACACTGGCTGCGCTCGCACTTATATTAAAACGGGGTATTGATACATCCACATGCTCGCTTCCGTAGCTGCAACAGCGTTGCAAGCTATGTGTGCGAAACAAAGTATGACATGCGAGCACGTACTGTACAGTACGCACCACTTGACGAGCGAGCGTGCTCCGCACGCAACCGTAAGTCGGAGCGACGCCGATGCTAGAAGCACCAGCAGGAGCAGGCCGTTTTGAACGACGCTTGCTTCCACGGCACGGGCATCCGTGCATGCCAAGTAGGCAGTGCTGCGCTCGCTATTACATCACACGCGCTTAGGGTGGAATGGAGGGTATTACTCGCTCTAAACAACTATCTTTTTGCAGGCTCATTAGCTTTCTACAGAGCACTTACCTCGCATAACTTTGCGGCTCCCGTCGGGTTGAAATCTTTTCGACCGATTCGGTGAAGCAAGGTATTCCTCCGTGGTTCATTTTCGGTTTCAGAGGGAACCTGAAAGGCTTCCCGGCCGACTTTTCCACAGGCGCAGTGGCCCGTCCTCTGCGGCGTAGCAATAGCTTGGGAAAGTGATGGCGGCCGGAAGTCCGAAACCGAAAGGAGGATGTCACGTGACAACTGAGCAGTAAGTAGTGTGCGCGGCGGCTTTTTCAAATGATGACGCCTTTTTCCCCAGGATAAAGGGGCTTTAAACTAGGTACGATTACAGCGCCGCCCTTTAGCGGCGAGTCAAAACATGAAAGTTGCTTTATATAGCTACTGCGAGATGGCACCGCCGGCCCTAGCGCGACTCGACTAGACGGGTACATGCAGCGGGAGTTGCCGCTGCGGGAGAAATGACGGCGTTGCGATCGCGTCTAGTTATGTTCTCGACTACGCATCGGAGCCATTTTTTGAAAGCAGGCTGCTATGGCAGTTTCCCAGCAGAGTTGTTGTTGTAACGTTGGTGAGGGCAAAATGGCAAATAACTTAATTTGCCGATTCGAAGGCGCTAGGGTCCAAGACGTTCAAGCAAATATGGAGTGCAAGTTCGTCTGCTCCTTGCACAGGGGTTCTGATGATGTCAGAACGCTGAGCTTTTATTGGCTGGTTAAAATAAATAGTGGGTAGGCCTCAAGGCATCTAGCCTTGAGGCCTACCCGCTTAAGCTATTTGCTTGATTGTTTTTCTCGCACATCCCAACTACGTCATGTTTCAAACATGGCAACTGTCACACAAAACCAGTCTATATACTTGAGTATATAACCATTTTCGAATAATATCCAGTCTATAAACTGTAACATCGTAAAATATTTTGGAGTGGTAGACATTGGTACACCGTTTTTGAAGCACATACTGGTATACCAGACGTCACCAGGAAACAAGAGCTTCTACTTGCCCTAAATCCGCGGTCGCGCCCCTACAACATCATACAAAAGACAGTCTGCACTCTGCAGACACTAGAGAGTTTTAGGGAACCGTATTTGCGCATCCGATACGGTACGGTGGGCCCTCCGGTATACGAACTGTGCACATGGGAGTGCCTTTTGTGGTAGAGCATGCGCAGTTGGTACCCGAAGGCCCACCTTACCATATCAAGATGTGAAAAAAAAAAAACGGTTCCCTAAAACCCCCTATTGCCTGTGGAGTGTTTCTTCCCTTTATAAGGCTCTCCTGTCATGTCGGTCATACAAACACTATGTGCAGACATGTTGGATGCATGGATATGTGGGAAGAAAACATGATTCGCAAATTCTTGAGGCATGACCGCAAATAAACTCTGTCTTTTCTGCAGAGAAGTCTGCGAGTCATTCGGATGATGTACGAGCAATGCGAGTGCGGCTTGAAATCTTCAAGAGTCACGTTATCTCTCTACTCATCTCTGAGCACTCACATAGTGGGGTGCACACCGTTACGAGTTTCTTGTTCTACGCTATGAAGTTTGTCTTAGAAACCGTAAATCTGTCAACTAATAAAACAGTAAGGAAATTAGTGTTACCTTTTGGCGTGAGGGCAGTGGCAACCAGGGTGACACCAAAAAAACCGTAGCTCCCCGCCATGATAGGTATCCTTTTGAGGTACTTTGTGGAGCCGAGCGACATCGTGTACCCGACGGTTTCGATGGCGGCGGTGATGGCGAAGGTGATGAATGGGTTTCCACCGAGGGTTGTCGAAGACCTCGCAAAGCCGTAATACACTATATACGAAAAGAAGCTGCAAAGCAGATTCACAACGGGGAGGCTTATAATCGTGGCTATCACTAAGGGTTTTAGCAGGCACTTTAAAACAAATAGAGTTGAATAGACTGCAATACCTTTCAAGCAATGTTTCATTGTAATGTGTATAAGGTTACGCGTCATAAGCTTAGTATATAGTTCGTCGTTGGTAACTACATTTTATTTCAATCTAATTACATTCATTATAACTGCAGACTTACGTGAGTCTACATCAGAGTCTACAACATAAAATGACGCAGAGACAAGTATCTAGGCAGCAACCGAGCATGGCATAAAAATAATATATTACCTAGAAGAGATAAAGTTCATTAGTAATAAAGTATTCTCACACAGGCGGAACTGTGAAAGTTAAAATAAATGTTTTGACATTTGTACCGTCAATTTTAATTTTGGTGGCTGACTCAATCCCGTTATTGAAGTGAGAAAAAAATTAATATATGTACGAAACTTCTTGATCATTCATCCGTTGTTAATACGAGTGTTTGCTCTCAGAACACTAGAGTTACTCTTGGCATATTTTGTGACATGTTAATCTTAAACAGCAGTATCAATATTTTACTCCTACTTAAAAATACGGAACCCTTTCTGACGCTAACATCGACACTCCATTGTTTCCATCATGAAACGATGTCATACACTTCATTTCACGTGACACGAAAATCTAGGTTACACGGCGCCTTCTCTGTAATCAGCTTTTGTCTGATCGCGGGCACATCGGCTGGAATTAAAACCCGGCACCTGGAGATCCAAAGGCCGACTCTTTATCTCAGAGTCACCGATGCTACTCCGATTTGCATGGAAGAACGCAATTCTGAAACCAAATTTCCGGGAACATTTAAAGAACTACGATACTCACGAGCAGCTAGTAAGAAGGATTGTGTTTCTTCGGAGATACTTGGTCTTGAAGAGCTCAGCGGTAGACACCTTTCCGCGGACTGACTTGTCAACCTGTTGAAACAAATGAATTTAAAACCGTAACTATTGGTATTGTCTCTAGCGAACGATCCCTCCTGATGCCTAAATTGTCAAGATTTTTTAGTCTTCGAAGTCACTCTAAGTTGTGGGGTCATCGTGATCTACAAATTTTGATCAGAGCAGTTATGGAATCTATTATATGCGTTGGGAGGTTTATCATTGAAGTCGCTGTATTGCCAATAAATTTATCTTATCACTGAACACGCTATGTAACGACTTAACTTGCTTGGCTGAGGTTCGATTCTGTATAAAAGCATGTATCATTGCAGGTTGTTTTTTCTTGCACTTGTTAAAGTAACAACTCGCTATTACTGCGCAGTCAAACCTCGGTTAAACACTGGCTCCGAAAACAGTCACTTCAAGCACTATGCGTACGATCTGCACAGGTGTGTGGCTACAGGAAGCACATTTCTGTGAAGTTTCCTTTTCACTGCAAAACACACATACTATCATACATTGTGAAGAAGTTAAGATACAGATGCATCTGCATTACTTGTGAGGGAGTAGTGAAAAATGTTAGGACGTCAAGAAAGCCCCTCCAGCGAACAAGACCAGTGCTAGCCAAATGATCAAGTGAAACTACCAGCTCATCATCTCTAAGCCAATTATATTTTCCTTAAACTTCTCTTTCGTGTCGTTACACGCTGGATGCGCTTGGTGAGGACATTTTTGTAGATATTACGCTAGCCTATTATTGCGAATTTGGAAAGCATATAGAAAATAATATATGCAGCATTACCATTGCCGTTCCTCTTCCCTTTTTATTTAGCTCACGAGCTCAACATTACAACTCGAATCAAACAGACTGACTTGAAAAAACGTACGCCAACTTTGGTCTCCATTAACCGCTCCACTTCTTTTTCGATGTCTTGCGGGCCGCGTCGGTTGAACTTCGCAATTTTCTTTATGGACGCGCACGCCTTTGTCTTTTGGCCCGTACTCAGAAGCCATCTTGGAGATTCATACAACCATCTGGAGGAAAACATAAAGGCAAACATTATTTTTAAAGAAAGTAAACTAAGGGCGGTGTTCCTCTCTCTCAAGTGGAACCGATTGAAGCCTCAAAGCGACAACCTACATTTCGTTGAGTTGAGATACTCAAACGCCTTGATTTAATAGAAACAGCACCTCAAACCACGGAGAAAGTTTGCAATTTAATGGCGAATGCCCCCCCCCCCCCCCCCCCCCCCCCCCCCTCAGATTGCTTGCTCACGCACATGCGTGCGTTGCCGCGGGACGAGGAGGATACTGGATGCAGAGGCTTGCAGACAATTGAAGCTTTCGCCCTTTCCCCCCGGCGTGTATCGCAAACAAGACCCGTAAACAACGTGATTTCGTGTGCTCCATTGAGTCTTCCTGGAGTTCTTGTTATCACTCTATGTATAGTCATATACAGATTAAGAAGCTTAGAGCGTAGCCCATTATGTTCACGCACTTTGTTTCTTGCTTCGTTCCTTGGCGTTTGTATCGGATAATGACGCAACCTCGTTGGCCACAGGTCGACGCCACGCGTTTGTTGAGAACGTTAAGGATTATGCGTGGCGCAAGTCTGTCCCCTTCTTGTGCAGGGGTTACGGTGATCTCATGACGCCGAGCTCTGGTTGGCGCCGATCGAAAGGATAGTGGGTAGTCCTCAAGGTAGCTAGCATCGAAGTCTACCCACTATAATGCTGATCAGAACCTATCAGAGTTGGGCGTCCTGACATCACTGCAACCTTCGCGCAAGAGGCAGACGTAATTGCGCCCTTCATATTTTGTCTCGCCTTAACTCAATGGCAGACGCAGCCGATGCTACGAGCTAATGGAACCAATCAGACAGCTTCAGAGGCGCACTATCGTGCTTCTCGTCTCGTTTCAGCGCGTGTTCTATCATCGCTCAACCTATCATACACAGAAAAGGCCTAATGACGTGCGCTTTGGACGCTGCTTGATTAATCCCATTACCTCGAAGCGCCGAATGCGTCCGGACTGATACGATGTATGCGGAGAGCAAGGTCGTCTGATACTTTTGCAGAAGCTGCAGTGACGTCAGAACGACGCCCAGTTCTGATTGGCTCTAATTGGAGGATAGTGCGTAGAGCTCAAGGCAGTTTGCTTTGAGGTTTACCCGCTATGTTTCATACAGAGCCAATCAGAGCTTGGAGTTCTGACGTCACCACAACCCCTGCTAAAGAAGCAAACGAACTTACGCTTCGCATAGGGGCTATTCACTAGACGCCATATTTGGGTGCGCCGTTCAGAGCGCGTGCTCAGGAAGAGCTCACATTAATAGGCTGCTAAGACCGGAAGTCTTGATATTGGTGAATGCACGTTCCTAACGAACTCTGTGAAGCTCGACTTCACAACGCACTCAGCAGTCGCGCACGCAGCTATGGCCGCCGGTGAATACTCCCTACTAGCCTTTGCAAGTACGACCTCTTGTCGGTGGAGTGGGCAGAGTGTCTAATAGTCATGCATTGCTGAGGCGTGCCCACGGTTTCCTGAGTGGCGCCCAAACAAAGCGTTTTCCATCCACGGTGGACAGACTAGCTCACGAGGCGTGGCTGCTCGCAAACATCTACAGACCGTTTTCGTGTGACGGTAGTTACTTTGAAATATGAGGCAGCTGGGTTGGGTAACAAGGAACTAAAGTAAATAGTTTATGCATCCATCTACAATTAAAAAATAGTGCAGCCAATACAAAAGTAGAACTATTTGGCACGAACCCCTTGAAAGCTAGCGCCTTCCAGTCGGCAAATGAAGTGATGTGCTATTGTGGCCCAACTCGGTCAAGTCGGAATTCAACATGGCGGCCACCACGAGAAAACGCTTTTCACCCCTAAGCTGCGACTGCTGTGGAAGCTATGTCTTTGTTAGACCAGTCATACGCCTCTCTTTCACCACGTCGTCACGCTCCCGTCCATACCCACGCACGGAGAGCCGGGTCAGGTGATAAGAGGGAGGTGGCTGATTGGTCCGGAGGGCACGTAGCTCTAAAGTCTTCATGCTTTACCTGGTGCGTCTGCCTTAAAATATGGGCACTCAATTCGGCAACTAATTTGCGTATTTCTTTAACTATTAGAGACGCGGGGCGTTACCTAATGTGTTAACTTTTCTTATGTTGCAAATTATTCTGGGGCGTTTTTTTTTCTCGTTTTTTTTTTTTTTTTTTTTTAAGTTATTGCGCTCGAAATGTTGTACGTCGCAATAACAATGTCCTCAGAACCAGTGTTTTAGGCTTTCCACCAAAACGTAACGAAATGCGTTGTTACTTGCATATAGAAGAAACGGCTTACCGTCCTAGGTTACCTCGAAATAAAAGGAACGTGTTACCGTGACCGATAAAAAAAGTAGTGGACGTCACTTTTCTCTTACCTTTTTAATTATGAATTAACACGTTTTACTTTTTTGACGTTACAGTTACGCATAAGTGCCAGATTTAAAGAAACATTATGTCAATCCATAAATTTAACATAACTACCTTATCTTTTTATGGTTTTATCTGAAAACTTACAACAAAAAAACGCAAAAAAAAAAAAATTTTTTTAACGCTTTGGCGTTTCGAAACACAAAATACATTGAAATGTATTTTTTTTAAAGTCATGTGAAGAACATGTAATTAGTAACGTAACTACGTTACCCGTTACATGAAACAAGTAAAGAAAGTGTACTTTATTCGATATTGTTTTGAAAAGATAACGAGTACGTTACAGCGTTACCGAAGCCACGTACTACCGGAAACACCCGTTACTAGTATCGTGTTACCGCCAACACTGCTCAGGACCCATCATGCGCACTGCGATTCTTAAGCTCTCGTGGCTATCGTGGCATTGGCGCAGACAGATGAGTTAGATGTGTGCCTCTTTTTAGACAAAAACTAAATGCGCGCGCAAACGTGCTGCATTTCGTTTGTATGTTTCCCCATGTGACTAAGGACATGAAGCTCAAATGCGGCAGAGACAAAGCCACACCTCCTTTATTTCTTATTTCCCCTGCACGGCGAACCAGCGAAACAAGTAAAGAAAAAAAAAATCGCCACGCTATTTTAGGGTGTTTCAATTTCAGTTTAATTTTAAGGGCATATATGAATATTTTTCTTCGCGTTTAGGCATGCATTCAGCCGCGGTTTGGTGGAGAGTAGTTTGTAAATTGAAAGAGTAGATAGACGCTTTATTAGTTTATTTTATGATCGATGTTTTAGAAAAAGAAATATTTTCATTATTATTATTATAATAACTCGCTGCTGAGTAAAATGGACACACTTTCGACAGAAGATATCTTCCTGGTTTGTAATTTTTGCAGCATTTTTTTAAAGAGCAAAGTGTCATGTTCAAGTCTATTATCCACCGTAAGCTTTTAGTTTGACTTCTTGCTCTTTGAGGTCAAGGGAACTGTTTTATGTTCGTGAGTGCTCCCGCTTCTCACCTGTAATCCGCATGGAGGGTTTGTTAAATGGTGTCTCGTCCCCTTCGCCTGACGTGTTTATGCCTTTAGCTGCTTTTAAAACTTAATGAGGTCTGAACTGTAGGACGATATGGGATTTTGTCTTCTGATCTTTTTTTGTTTTGCTCAGTATTGTTATGTATTTAATGTTGGAGTGTTTGATGTGCGTGTTCCGGGAAGGCTCCCGGTGGGCATCAATAGTGAAACATAAACGAAGATACTCAGTTAAAAGGCGACTACATTCTAACGCCTTTCTCCTTAAAATAACATCTTAGTTAGACCACATTTAACATATCGATGTAAAACAAGGTACTTACGGGAGCATGACGAGAATCGACACTCCGAGGACGGAGTTGACAATATACAGTTTCCTCCAGTCCTCGACAAGCCACACGATCCCCGGTAGGAAAAGGATACCCGCGATCCAGCCGTAGCCATAGCAAATATTCAAGGCTATCCTAGACTTTGGACCAATCGTTTCAGCAACTGAAAAAGGTAATTTTGTTTTTGAAAAAAACGTGAAACGTCACTGTTATGTCACTTATGTTCAAATGCAACATTACGGCGATCTTTTAAGAAAAAAAAAAGAATATGCAAGGACATCTTCATTATGCCCATTTGTCTACAGGGTGCGGCAAATTAAAACGCCTCAGCATTAATCTGACCCGAGAGGTAAAATTACAAGCGGGGGAGTCCCGCCATGAAGTTAGGAAGAAACGTCGGTAGGTACTGCTAAACTTTTCTTTTGTGGAATTGTGGCAGTGTTTCACGGGTTGGAATTCCAGTGGCACTCAATATACAGTTCTACCATTTTGGCCGGCGCGTGAATGAGAGACCTCATATTGTCCTCTACTGTAGCACCTACAAGTTATCTATTTAAGCCAAATCATGAACTTGTATTTTCTCTACAATTTTAACTTTTCCTTGCATTAGCAGTCACTGAGCAGAAAGGACATACCCAGTGGTAATTAAGAAATATAAGATGGATGGAGAAATTTAAACGTATCAACACGACTACACTAAACCTTCATATTTGACAACACTTACGCAGGCTGAAGCTGGCAACTTGAAGTCCCGAAATTCCGAATGCAATTCCAACACGTGCGGCTAGGAAGAAATAGAAGCTGTTGCTGAAGACGCAGGCTACAGAGGACAATGCCAGTAAGATGCTTGACCATAAGGCAACTATCCTTCGGCCGTATCTAAAAGAAAGTTGAAGACGATCTTAAAGAGAGGCCAACGCCACTACATCACTATCAACCATAATTACTATCGTCACTGTAATAATCATCGTAATGACAGATTTGTTTACGGCTAGTACGGTGCCTGAAACTCGTGTCCTACTGGTGCGCTTAGTGCGTCCTGAAAAAATTGTCCCTAGATTTTCTCCAGATGACATCACGTGTCATGCTGTTGCAAACCGCAATCCTGGCGGTGGCACAGCGGTGGAGGGGAGTATGGAAGTCGCCATTTCCGCTGTACCTCGTTGTCAGCTCGGCAGTTCATAGACGCTTTTTCAGAACAAGTTTAGGCTCGCTTTTTCGCTGTAACTTTTACGACCAACTACCAGGATTCCGACATAAAACAGCATGACACACCGGAATCTGTGCCGTCATTTGTTGCCACTTCGCAACGTTGCTACAATAGCACACGAAACCGGTCTATGCGCTCAAGTATATAACACTTTTCTCATGAAATCCAGTCTATAAGCTATAACAACGTAAAAACGTTTGGCATGGTAGACGTTAGTAGATCGTTTTTGAAGCATATATACTGTTATATTAGACGTGATCAAGGAAACAAGTGTTTCTACATGCCCTAAAACCGCGGTCATGCCGCTAAGACATCGTACAAATGGCAGTCAGCAGACGCGAGAGAGCTTTTTGCACACCCGATATGGTACGATGGGCCCCCCGGTACGAATTGCGCATGCGCGCAGCATTTTGTGGTAGCACATGCGCAGTTCGTACCGGAGGGCCCATCGTACCGTATCGGGTGTGCAAAAACGGTTCCTTAAAACTTCCTATTAGAGTGTTTTAGGGAACCGTTTTGGCACATCCCATACGGTACGATGGGCCCTCCGGTACGAACTGCGCATATGCGAGTCTTCTGCGACAACGCATGCGCAGTTCCAACCGGAGGGCACATCGTACCAAATGGGATGTGCAAAAGCGGTTCTCTAAAATTCTCTATTGACGGGCTCTACACACCGGAATGGGCTCGTAGAAGACGCTGTGATTCAGGCAAGAGAGGGAATTCAGAAAAATACTTTCTACCCTTTATGGCCACCAGAGTTTGCATCCTATCTTCGGTTAACTTCTGTCTTGTCACGGGCGAGTGTCATGGTGCGCGTCCAAAAAGAGTGCTGCTGTTTCAATTTAATATTTACACTTAACTCATTTTGAGGCAGCGAAAATATTTGCGCTAGTTTTAACTCCCAATTGGGCCCAATTCATAAACACAAGTTTGTTTTTGTGGGCTTTGTCATATCGAATATGTACACCTCAATGTTACGCCTTGTTTTGTCACAGTGAATGTTTACACCTCAATTTTACGCATTGTGTTGTCATTGTGAATATTTGCGCCTGAATATTACGCCTTGTTTTGTCATTGTTAGTGTTTACACCTATAACTCAACCTTGTCAAACCCGCGTTCATAAATAAGAATTGTAATAGTAAATGGTAATACAACTTGTTGTTGCCAAATAACACAACTACAAAAATCAACAGTATTTTACAAAGACGCGCAAGGGACATCAGCAAAAAACATTTATATATATATATATATATATGTTTACACCTATAACTCAACCTTGTCAAACCCGCGTTCATAAATAAGAATTGTAATAGTAAATTGTAATACAACTTGTTGTTGCCAAATAACACAACTACAAAAATCAACAGTATTTTACAAAGACGCGCAAGGGACATCAGCAAAAAAAATTTATATATATATATATATATATGTGTGTGTGTTTGCCTGATACTTCAGCGCGTCTGCTTCATATGAGCATGAACATTGAAGCGTATTTGCTATTGCTTCTTTAAGTTGTTTAGATTGACACCAACGGAAGCACACCCTGTTGCATCTAGCCGAGCAAACGTTCAAACAATCCGGCTCATAAAAAAAAATTATAAAGGGTTTAATATTTTTGTGGATGTGATCCTTCTGATTCGCACCAAATAAATTTGCTGAAGAAAGTCTCATGGTGTCTAAACACTCACGTCTAAAAATGCGAGGGCGCAATGAAGTTGTTAAATGCTAAACATAGTAAATTTACCCGAAACTGAAGATCTCTGAACTACAACATAAACACGAAGGAAACTTAAGATTTCTATGCGCCTTTCATGTGTATAACACTCACGAGAAATTTGAAATAAACGCTTACCTGTCGGACAAGTTTCCGATGATAATAACGCCCAGCATGAGGCATCCCATGTAGGAACTTTGTACTAGCGACTTCTGCCATTTGCGTTCGCAAACCAGATCCCACTGTACATATTAGCAAAATAAAAACGCGCAATATTAAAATATTTGAATTTTCTATGTGTATGATTAGCAAATACGATGTTACATACAATGCAGTTCAGCATGATTGGAAACACGTCTTTCTAGCAAAATTTGCAGGAGCTTGTTTCCGAGCCCGAAACCATTTTCTGGCTTGTCGAGTACAGCAAGCTCAAGAGAACGAATTACATTTCTTTTAATGAATTTTGTAAAAGAGCTTACAAGATGGCTTTGCTGAAATTCAACGTAAATGTATTTAATGCAAGCAAGGATTTCATAATTCAAGTTCGCATGCGGCACATGAGTCGGTCATATTTCTGTCGTTCACATTTTTTATTGCTTGGGCAAGAGCTATACGAAAAGAACATTCAGAGTGCGGGCGAATTGATAACCCATCATGTTCAGTGGTAATCGCACTTGTCCTTAAAGGCCCGTTCACACTCTTGCGACCGAGTACGACTGAGAGAGAGAGATCCCTTTAAACTTAAAGGGGCGGTGCAACGATTTTTGGACTTCGGTCAAATATTTCTGAAAGTTTCCCCCTGACACTTCTAAAGTAAAGAACAGAAAACCGATTTCGCCTGCGTGTCCTAGTTGTTGCGTAAAAAAAAAAAAAAAGATAAAGATTGGCATTTCGGGCACCCCTCAACTTACTCCCAGCCTTCAGAGTCACACCTGGTCGCACTCCCAGTGACGTCGTTCGGAGTGCCCTGTAGCTTGCCGTGTGCTACCTCGGAGGACGCTTCCCCTCCCTCTCTCTGCGTACATTAGCGGGCGCTATGCTGCAGCTTAGAGCCGAGCGAGGTCACGTAATCTTTCCGCCGTAGTTCCTTCGGCTGCCACTTGGGGCTGCAGGTGGGGGAAAAAGCTCGACTTTTGCTTTGCGATTATGCAGCGGAATCGCGACATTTTCAATGAAGGAAGTGTTTTCTCTATCCTCTGGGACACGATAAACAACGTAAAAATGACGAGATGCAAATTCTTTTAATCATAAAATCGTTGCACCGCCCCTTTAAATGTTTTTAGAATGAGGGAACACACTGGCATTGTGGCGCCATCTATGCGGTAATTCTGGAACTGTATTTCACAAGAGCGAAGGTTTTGGGGAATTTCGGAGGTCAAATGTGCGTAATACCCATAGAACGGCTCGTTTATAACATTGACAAAAGTTTTTCGAGCCAAGAAAGAAAGGATAATGCGCGAGAAATAAAAAAATATGCCGGACCGCCGAGTTTACACTGCTTCTCAATAGATGGCGCCAGTGTGTTGTCTGGTTTAAGAAGTTTTAAGGAACCTAGGTTTAAGAAGTCGCAAGAGTGTGAACGCTCCTTAACGCGGAAACGCGCTGCTCTCTCCAGCGAACACTCGACTGGTCGCATTCACGGCAACTAATCGAATCATAATTTAAGACAAAACCCTGAGACGGCAAAAACCGAAGGCCGACACAACACACGAAGTCTCAATCGCAGCTGAATTTACTTGACAAAAGTTTAATTTAATTTATGGTTCAAGTACTCCACCAAAGCAAAAGATGAGAAAAGTAAAAATAGCGACACCCTTTCAATAAATACATACGAGAGAAAGGGATCATGCAGAAGACCCCCAAAAGAACTTCGCCCTTCTGTCAAAACAATTAAGCTGTTTTTAAGACTTCGTATGTTGTGTCATGTTTCGTTTTTCCCCAGTCTCGGTTTTTTGTCTTAAATTATGTGTAATAATCTCCAGCTAGTTTGCGCCCTAAGTTTTCGCTCTTTAATCTAGTCACGTGGGTTAACATGGAACATCCTGTGCTGTCGGGGGCCGCCGGGGCCGCCGAACTGGCCGAATGCAGTAGGCTTCTATCACTGCCTTCGCAAACGTCATGAAACTCCATCAATAGACAACAAAACTAAAACCCGAGTGTTTGTCAATAATGGCAACATCAAGAAGAAATAAGAATGCAGTGTTGTGCCTTTAAAATTATTCACCTTTACCCTTTACAAGTCGGCGCAGTGTTTGTCGGCGGCTCCCGTTGCAGCGGCGGGACGCTCCTCGGGCGGGTTGTTTCACGTTGCCCCACGTGGCAAGATTAGTTGCCGCGTACAGCACCAGTCGAGCGCTCGCTGGCGAGAGCCGTGCGTTCCGGCGTAATGAACAGCTGGGGTAACCACGGTGATATATGCGAAGACGAGAAACGCGCAAAAATGAGCAAACATTAAATTGTTTCTTGACTTTGGACTGAGATGGTATGGTGTCGTGTTCTCTCCCCATGCCACCCGTCGCCAAGTTTGTAGCAGGTACAATGTTTGTTACCTGGACATAGGAAATGTCCGTGCGACGTTTACCAGCCGACGTGTTACGCTTGACATTTCGCTTTGGATATTCCATTTTTCACACTTGATGTAACGCAGAAATATAGCGAGTGGTGCTCTAATACATTCTCTATGTCTTGATGCCACAGGCAAAACAACAGTGGAGAAAATCACTTGCACGTTTCGTAGATAGCCATCAATGGTATGTCATGCAGGATAGCTTCGAACCGAAGTGGAGCATAGCCGCATTCTTTAATCTATTACATCTACCCGGTACGGATCGAGAGGACTTAATTTCTCTACAGGGTGTTCCTGAGCGTTGATCGTGGGTAAAGCTATTCGCATAAATGAAACGATAGGCGAAGTTCACTGAAACGTTTCCACGAATATGTCTCTAGCTAGTGTATTTACAACAGACAAGAGTCAGTGGTGTGGAATTGAGGAACAAAATTAAGCCTAAAAGTACCGCTTCTGTTATGCACATAGCGAGAAAAACGGTAAATAAGACTGTCTAATTGACACCGCTGCTCACAGATGGCACCACACACGCTCTATCCCCTAGATCTTCTGTTAGGTGAGCATCTCACAGAAGATTGAATGTTTCTGCTTCATGTTGCGACATATGGTAGTAGTAGCGTCAACCAGGCAGTTATTACTCTTAATTCTTCCCTCGTACATTAGTAAAAGCAAAACTTTGTTTACTTATTTCTTTTTTCTTGCGACCAACACTCATGAAATTTAAGTATGATAAATGCACCACCTTGAGTCACCTTTGTGCAAAAGCTTAATTGCAGTCAGTTTATTGATTCATTTATACGGATATTTTACCCCCGAATAACGCTCGGGAACAACCTGTAGAAATATAATAAAGAACAATACCATAAAGAAACCTCACCTCATTCGAGACGGAATGTCCAAAGACATGTTCATCATAGATCCAGGAATCGCAGGGAATCGTCGTGGCATTGTTGACCCCAGTAGTACCGTTCAGTGGCACGTCGTACATAAGACACTGACTGTAAGATTCCGACACGTTGTCATACGGGATGAACATCTTCTTCAACTGCTCGCCCGTCCTGTTTCCGTCCGTGTCCGGGTAGGAGCACCAGTGGTCGTTGTTTGTAACCAGGAACACGTAGGCCATGTTGTTGAGGCCTGTCAGTATTCCACGGTACGTGACGAAGGCCACGAAGAAGCCTTGCCATCGGCCAAAGTTGCCGATCAGGTCCACCACATCCGCCATCCTTCCTCCACTCGATCCTACAAGGTCATGCAATAAGTACTGCTTGAACCTCTAGTGCCCGTTGCATCTATTTATTTTGCTATACCGTCAGCATTCTGAATGAACATCAAGGCCAGTAAGTGCTTTCTATATACAATACAGTTTATAAAAAAGGAGTGATATAAAGGTAGCTATCCGACAAACAAATGCTTAAGTAGTCTGGCATTAAAAAAGTCAGTGAATTCTCATCGACGAAACAAAACTTTTACTAACCTGATTCTTTTCGCTCATATTATTAGGAAAAAAGGATCCCAGAAACAAAGCAGTTTTATGTTACGATTCAATGACTGACATGCAACTTCCTTTGTGTAGGCCTAGCTGTGGTAACTCCCGAGTGACAGTTAAGAAACAGCTGTAATTAATCTAGACAGGGGCCGTGTAACTACATTTGAGTCTTAAAGAACTGATTAAAAATGTTTTCATTATGAAATCTTCGACAAGCGCATGCAGTTTTGACTGACCTATTATGTAATCAAGCGTCTCTTTTTTTCAGAATTCAAGCTTAACTTTACTATTTTTACAGTATACACCACTTACCTCAACAACGCCGACCGCCTGCGGGTCTAGTGGTCAACTGAGTTTTTTTTTCGGCAAGCTCCTTGCGAGCGAGAAGATAGCGAAGGTAATTAAAGCGTCATAAATGGCGAGATATTTGTTTTATGGTAGATGCGTTGGGAGTCGGACTCCGTAGCTACCTTATCGTTAACTATACTCCTCGCAGTAAAACATCTCCACGGGGCCAGTCCGCCAAGTCCAGACTTCCTGCTTGCCAGGAAAATGAAGGCACAGACATTGTGGTTCACATACTTCTAAGTTATGGTGCTTGGAACGCGTCTTGAAACGTGGTTCCTCAATTTTCTCGTGATGACGTCATAAAAGTGGCATGCTGTTTCCTGCTACTCTGTTTGCAGTGGCACGACAGCACAGGCGGGTGCCAGAGACGCCTCTTGTGCTGCAAGTCTCTGTGCAACCTGACAGTCCACGGGAGTTTCAGCAGTCAGGGGTTTGGACGCCACGACGACATTGACCCTCGCGTTGGCTCGTTCTTTTTTCTTTTTTTTTTCTTCAAAACTTCTACGACCAACTACCAGGATCACGACATCCGACAACGTGACATGCCGGCAACTGTGACGCAATTCGTTGCCACTTCAGGAGTCTCTTCAATGCGTGGGCAGGATAGGACGCTAACCATACCAGTCGACGACACGTTCCAGGTACCGTGCCTATAGGCTAAGCAAGACACGAAGATAGACAAGGCTGGTAGAAAACAATGACGCAAGAAAAGTATCCTGAAGGCCTAAAGTGGCGGTTAATGTTTCGCTAAAAGAAATAGCAGCTAAGTCCTTTAGCAAAACCCGTGCGCTGCTCTGAGACCTTCAGGAGTCTTCGTTTTAAGTATTTGAGCCGCAAGAATGATGGGAAGTACACGCCGCCGTTCAGAAGAAAGCATTGAATTGGGATTCTTCTTGTAGTATTATACGAGTCTGGAGGAAGCGACATTCTGGGACTAGCAAATTTTAACACCCCGTCGTTTCGTTGACAAAGGCGGGCGCATAAATTTGGCCAAAATCTTCTAACTAGTATGCCGTATTGAATCGTCGGGTTCAGCATATCTGTGATATGAAAGAAAAGCCGCTACGCCCTTTTTAATTTCTTCACTTATGGTGAGCATCGCTGGGAACATAAAAAAAAGAAAATCAAGGAATGGTGCAACGAATGTTAAAATTTAACTTGTTCAAATGCCATAATAGCCAGAAAGCACAGCAGAAATTGCAGCCTTTATGTATATTATTGTTTCTCTAAAAAAAAACGATAACCTTGTTTGAGTTAATTTAAGTTTCATGTATCCTATTCATAACTAGAATTCTAATTTATCCCCTTGTGCCTCTGGCGCATGCCAGGATACTTGAAGAAAAACAAATATTAAAAGACATTAACACCCATGAGACTTTTTTTTTTAAATACTTACGGGTAGTGTAACGAGGGGGGACTTGCTTCTTTCGTAGGTAATACACCAAAGTGCTGAGGCGAAGTGCAAGATTTACAAGTAGAGAGCAGCGGCCTGAAAAAATAGTGCCCGGCCGATTCCTGATGCCGGAAGATAATAGGAGGTAAAGTCATGACGAAAAGGCTCCTCGCGCACAGGATAAGCGTAAAGCAAAGCCGGTATCAACTATGGTTTACCATTCTTGTAGGTTTTTAACTCCACTACAAGTGAGGAAAGAAACGGAGGGCAGCATACACACGTGCAGCGTTCATCAGAACAGCTTTATTTCGACATTTCGGAGTGGTCATCCAGGTACCCCTTCTGATTCTCCTCTGTGTATGGCTGGTTTCTCAGAACCTCTCGTAATATTTAACAAACACGCAATCCTGACTTCGTTTTTTTTTTCTTTTTCGTCGTAATTCTGACGCATTTTGATTCCATTAACCTACCCAGCTTGCGGTCGGTTTCCTTTGCCGCATACTACACGCTGGAGGAGGATCATGGCGCCCAGGGTTCCAAAAACATAAAAGTACATTTAACTGAGCGTGGACGTGCGACCACCCTGATATTGGCGTCCAACACCCTTTCGCGTTCTTGAATTCACACCTTTATTTCCGCTCCACCGTCTTCTGCTGCAACACTTTTGTGAGCTTCCAAATGCCCCGCGTGGTCTTGGACGTTCTTTTTGGACAACCTGCAATAGGGGAAAAAAGTTAAGAGAAACTGTGATCAATGGCAAAGCAAGCAAAGTCATCTGATTAAGTTAGGGCATGTTACATTCGGTTAGGTTCGGTTAGGATAGGTTAGTGAGGTTAAGTGACGTTAGATGAGGTTATGTGAATTTAGGTTAGGTTAAGGTTCGGTTAATGGAGTAAGGGTTAGGTAAGGTAAGGTTAGGTGATGGTAGTTGAGGTTAGGTTAGGTGAAGTTAGGTGAGGTTAGTTTAAGTTAGGTTAGATTAGTTTAGGTCAGGTCAGGTCAGGTTAGGTTGGGTTATATTAGATTAGGATAAAAAAGGTTAATAAAGGGAGGTTAGGTGAAGTTTGCAAAGGATAGGTGAGGTTACATGAATTTAGATGAGTTAGCCTAAGTTAGTTTAGGTTAGGTTGAATGTATTGTCCATTGTCCTCCTTTTTTTTTAGTTTGTTGTATCCTATTTAGTAAGTGTGGCCAAGCATGTGCCTCAGCAATGACGACTGAGGTTTCTCTCTTACTTGGACTGGGAGAATCGTTCCCCTTCTTCCAAAGTATCATTGAGAACGCTTCCGAACGTTTCTGGGAGGAGAGTGACCAATGCGGCGAGTGACAAGATCATGACGCTGTAGACAATCAGGACAAGTGTGTCACCCCTCGAGAGCACTTGGAAATTACAAAGGAAACAGTAGGCGGCCTCACTAATTTTCACACAATAAATAAACGTAAAACAGTAAAGTTTATGAAAATTACCATCTTTAAAGCACGTTTCCTTAAATTCTAAATAAAGCTAGTGAGAAAAAAACTTCCTGCCGACCGTTATAAGAATAATTGTATATTCAGAAGCAGGCAAAAACGTAGACAAATTGTGAAAGTGACAAGGCAACGAACGGACTATGTCTTCACGAACATGAAATATAACAACCTCCCGTTTTTATCCGAAATATTTGGCATAAATGATTAAGATTTGCTTTGTTTGAACATCTTCGAATAACGTTCTACTGTTAACAGAGCTATTTTTTAATCAATCTAAATATTCGACTGACAGTATCACTGAGCATGTCCATCATTTTACCCGCTCTCCGAAAGAAAAAAACATAAGAAAGCGTGCAGTTTTATATAGTAGTTCTACGGAGAGTGTATGCCATTTAATTCGAACAGTACTAAAAAAACGCCTTGAAAGCAAGACTAACGAGTTCAGTGCAGGTGGTGTATACGACCGAGGGGACAAATAAAATGGGGGTAATCCCGTCGAGAAGCCGGATAGATTACTAAACTTTGTTAAGAAACTTTTTAATAAGTGAAAATAAAGAGGTGATTGCGATTTGAAGTTTGCTAACCGTTGGAAAACCACAATGTCAGTGTAGTTCTGCAAGGATTCGCACACATGAGAAGCGACGGAGTGCGCTAAAGTTACAATTTGTGCCACAGGCGTCAAGGATGGCGGTACGAAAATGTTGTTGAAAACATTAACATCCGCGTTTTTTGGACTGCCGGCTTTACGCAAATTGCACGAGCGGAAAGGTTAGCCCACGGCCGCGCTAACTATGCACGCCGAGTCCTTCTTAAACTGACTGATTTGAAGATTTCAAGTGACGCTCATCAAGTTCCTAATTGAAACCATACAACTTTTTTCATGTTTAAGATGTTAAATCACAAATTGTATTGAATTATTCGACTTATCGAGACGAAGAGCCCCCTATATTATGTCCTCCTGGCCACATAACTCACCCGAACAGACGCATAAATCTCCCAATTACGGCTTTCTTTTATATTAAATCTGTTATAATAAAAATAATCAAACAGCCTATTCGCCTCGAGATCAAACACTGTCACCACCGTGTGGCCGAAATTGGAAACATGCGAAAGTGGGGATACCGTGGTGCGTCGTCTGCTGAGGGCGCGTGTCCACTGGCATGGATCTCGACCAGGCAAGCCCGTTTCCGGCTCAGCTAAACCCGATCCTTATTAAATGCTTTTTTTTTTTATTTTCTGTTTACAAAAGGTTGTGCCGTATTTCTATCGTTTCGCATGCGTGAATATTAAGCAAAGCGAATAATATTAAGTCAGTTGCTTCCAATCCTCTTAGTGGTGTGGTTTGTAGAACCGCTGGCTGCACATATATTTGTTATCTCGCAGAATTCACATCTTTCATAATACATTAAATGCTGATTGGAGGTGGGGGTTGATAAAAAAAATAACACGACTGATCGCCTCCCTTTAATAGACTAAGCAATAGATAAATCTGTTAGTTGATTTTTTAAAGCGCAGCTTTTAGGTG